TTACTTACGTAGAAAATACAGATATTTATTTACTCATAGACTTTGGGGGACTGAAATCAGGGCCCTTTAGCTTCCACTAAGCTAAGTCCTCAGCCCCTCAGTGCAATTGTGCAGACAAAGCCGTGGAGGATGTCAGCTGCTCATCGTCAGACAGGGTGGGAGCAAGGACATCAGGTGTGTTGACAGCCTCTCCATCTCTGTCCCCGTCATCTCGGGAGCTGTGATTAAGCAGCGAAATCACCTCACTACAATGATGCAATGAAGCTAGAGACCATGAGTTCCTTTTGATCATGTGATGTTATGTGACAGTCCCCATGGCAACAAGCATTTGCTTGTGAAGATGTAAATGGGTTCGTGTGAGATCTAACATTGTATGTTTAGAAAATAATGACGGGCCCATTGCTCTGGTTTGTGTCAGTAGGCAGAATGAGGGTAAGGTGAGAGAGTCAAGGGTATGAAACCAGCTTGGACTATTTTTAGTTGGGCATGGTGGCTTGTGACTGTCATCTAGCACTTGGGAAGTAAAAGTAAAGCAGTCAGGAGTTCAAGGCAAGTCTAGCTTTGGCTACACAGTGGGTCAGTGGCAATATGGGCTACGTGAGATTCAGTGTTGAAAGACCGGGGCAGGGAGAAATAGAAAAGAGAGAGAGAAAAAGGAGCTGTCTATTTAAAACATCTGGTGGGAACTGGAAAGATGGTGCAGCAGTTACAAGCACTGGCTGCTCTTCTAGAGGACCTGGCTTCTGTTCCCAGCCCCCACATAGCAGCTCACACCCATCTGTAATTTCAGTCCTAGAGGATCTAATATTCTCTTCTGGTCTCCTCTGGCACCAGACAAACATACACGCAGTACACATGTAGACAAAACACTCATACACATAAAATAAATACCAAACATATTTAAGAACCCATGGATGATTCTGTCTGTGTAGACTCACTTCCCCACCCAAAACACTGCTAGGCACCCTCAGAGGCATTAAAAACAGTGCAGGTGTGGCAGGAGGGTGCGGAGGAGACCTGGGTAGAAGAAATTCCAGTGCAGAAAGATAAAGGAGACATCCAAGAAACAACTTGGCAAAGGGAACTGTTACGACCTGGACCAAAGTAAATATGGAAGGAAGGGAAGCCGGCAGGCTCACAGACTTGGTGGTGGGCATCCTGAGTGCCAGGAAGTCAGCTTTGAATGAGACAAAGGCACCATGGAAGGCTGAAGAGCTGAGTGACTGTAAAGGACCCTGACCCAGCCCACATTTTCTCCTTGGGAAGTAAACAAGCTTTAGATTTGAAGATGTTTGGAATTTGAGGCCATAAGAAAGACTAGAATGGAAACCCAGCTGAAATCAGTGAATTAACTGTGTATCTAGTTAACGAGAGTTGGGGACCTCAGCCGCTTCCATCATCCTGTATCTTGATACTTCCGGTTTTCTGAAGACATTGTGGCCCTAGAAAGAAGCGCTCTTGAGAAGAGAACATCTCTTTGACAAATGTTTGCAGTCTAGGAGCTTTTATTTCCTTGGTTCTTGAGGGTTTTTGATACTGAGCTGACTGCTAAAGTGATAACTTCTCATGAGAGGGCAACCTCCAGCAAGGAAGGAGAGTGGAAGGTGTTACTGGGGGGAGGGGGAGGGGGAGCTCAGGCGTGAGAGAGGGACAAGGACAGGGACAGAGAAAGGAATCAGCCTTGGCCAGATCCAGGTTTCTACTGGTCGCGACCAGGATCTTAAAAACCCAGTGGTGGGTATGAGATGTCAGTTTGCTGCTGCAGCCACACGATGGCGCCCGTGTTTTGTGTGGCGCCTAAGCTGCAATTCTTCCTGTGGCCATCGGAGGCGTCCAAGGGCAAGCTGGGTTTTCTTAGGGGCAGCAGTTCCTTAGCAACTCTGCCTGCAAATAGTTCTGGGATGAGAAAAAGCAGGAAGCAAGTGTTTGAATCAACCGTTAAGACCACTCAGTGTGTGTGCGTAGGAAGTGAGGCCTTGGGGTGGAGCACAACAAAGACAGAGGATAACTTGTTTGGGTTAGTTCTTTCCTACTATAGCTGTCCCAAAGTTGGAGTTATGGTTTGACTGCAAGTGTCGTGCTGAGCCATCTCAGTGATTCAAGACAGCCTCTCTCACTGAACTCAGGGATAACCAGCTAGTTAGGCTGGGGGCCAGCGAACTCTAGGACTCCCCGTGTCTACTCACCAATACGGGATCTGGGTCTTCAAGGATATGAATTCAGGTCCTCATGCTTGCATGGTGGACAGGTTACCAATTGAGCCATCTTCCCAGCTGACATCACTCCTTTGACTATAGTCTCAAGACGTTCACCACAACCGTGGGCCATCACCTTAAAACCATGTCCACAAACACCATCCCATCTTTCTCCCTAGCCCAGTCATCCTGATAATACTAGTTAAATAATACACAGCATCTCCAGTACATTGCTCTGAAGATCTCCAAACCCTGTGGGTGGACTTAGCTTTCTACCTCATAGAATAAAAGAAGCCACCAGGCAGCCCTTCCTCAAATACACTATTACATCACACCAGTATGGCCAGCCTTCTTCTTGTCCCTTGTAGCAAATAAACGGTTATGGATCCAGAGGGCGCTCCTTTGTAAGCCTTGGATTAAAAAAAAAATCCCCTTATCACCATGCACTCCCCTAATTTCTATCTTTTTCCCATGTGGATGGTATCGTCTCTGTTGGGTTATCCCCACTAATACAGAAACCGACAGTTTTTTATTCTGGTCCTTCATTAGCCCCAACATTCTACCAGCTGTTGGTTCCATCTCTTTCTTCCTCTTCTGACATTCCTGGGAATTTTCATATTCTCTGCTGATGCCAAAGTTTTTGTTGTTCTCTTGGTTTCATTCCTACAGTTGAACTTTTGCTCAGACCATTCCAAAACACCTGCTTGGGACTTCCACATCCATGAAACCTGCTGTCAGCATGGTCCAGTGTTGTCCTGGTCCTGGCCTTATCTACAGAGTGCTCATACTTCACTTGTGGACTCCCAGGGACCATCATCTGGCTCCTCCTCCTCCTCCTCCTCTATGGATTCTCCTTTTCTCCCCAGTTTATGAATGCCAGGTGTTCTAAAGACTCAGTTCTTGAACTTCTTTCCTAATATAACACCCATCCTTTGATGAGTTCCTTTGTCTCTTGAATACCAGTTGGTGCTACAATTCCCAGGTTTATTTCTTGTGCTCAAACTTCTTTCTTCCCTGAGCTTCGTGGTTTAATTTACAACCATTCATGTGCTTATTTAACTGATGCTAGAACCGACCTCCTATCCCTCTGCTCTGCCCTTCATGCTGGAGTCAGGGGCAGCCTTGTCACACCTAATCCCATGGGAAATCTTGTTAGCTCCACCTTCAGAACAGCCCCTTCACCTGTGCACCTGTAGGATTTCACCCCGAGTCTTACAATCCAGCATGATCTTACAAAAGCCAGAGCGGTCGTGCGCTCTGGACTCATCTGTCCCATACTCCCGTCAGAAAAGAAGCCTAATTTCTCAGAAAACCATTCAAGACCTCTTCAGGGTCATCCAATAAAAAGATAACGTGATGCCCCCTTCCTTGTTACCATATCTTACATTTCTTAGGAGCTGTAGTAATAGTCAGAAGAAATAGGTGAAATCTGGCTTTAATGGTGAAGAGTTTCCAGAAGCAGGTGCACATAGGAATGAGATCTCTCCAGGAGCGACAGGAACACAGCCTTGCCAAAAACCTGAGGTCACCCCAATGTCATCCAGTTTGGGATCCTGATCTCCAAGATGCCATCCCTAAGGACTTCTTCCATTCATGTAAGATATTAATCATCATTACATGAGATTATTATAAATCTCGTGTATTTTCAGATTTATTAATTGTATTTTACATGGGAGTGTTTTGCCTGAATGTACATGTGTGCACCACACTCATGCCTGGTCTCCTGAGAGGTCAGAAGAGGGCAGGCCTTCCTTGAACTGGAGTTATAAATGGTTGTGAAGTATTATGTGGGTTCTGGGGCTTGAATTCTGCAAAAGCAACAAGTGTTTTTTGAGGAGAGGGGATGCAGACAGGGTTTCTCTGTGCAGCCTTGCCTGTCCTGTAACTTGCTCTGTAAACCAGGTTGAACTGGAACTCAGAGATCCTCCTGCCTCTCCCTTCTGATGCTGGGATTAAGGGCATGCACCACCATGGCCCAGCAAGTGCTTTTAACCTCTGGGCCATTTCTCTAGCCTTAGTCATCATATTATAGTTACTGGGCTAAAGAACTTGGAATTGAAGCGCACGTGCCTTCTCTTTGGAGCAAAGCATGAAGGTTATATGCATAGCTAACACCCACATTAAGGTGGCCTGATATCAGTCACATACCACACTTAACTTTGCAAAAGGATGGCACACATAATCAATACTTTTGTGGCATATTGCTGACCTAAGATTAGATTGTATTACAAAAGCAAAAGAGGGGGACAGAAATACACAGAGGAAGTGGCACTGCATTGTGCCAAGGTGGGGGGGGGCTTTGTTTCAATTTCTACTCTTAAGTAAGAAAAAGCAAACAACAACAAAAAAGAAAACAAACAAAAAACCCCACCAAACCCCAAAACCAAACCAAACAAACAGAAAAACCTATCCTGACAAACTGACTTTATAAAAAAAAATTCCCCATGGGTACTGGAGTGACTCAAGATCATCACGGAATCAGAGCAGAGGCAGGGCAGGCACCTGCAAACCAGGCGCTGGGAGCTGCTCTGGGAACACAGACAGGTAAATCTGGAAATCATGTAAAATTCTCCCCTGAAGACAAAGGCTTGGTGAGAAGGTTTTGCTCAGTCAGCCATCCAGTGGGATACAGGGTGCAGGAAGGAAGAAGCCCCAGAGAAGACTGACTCAGAGTTCCCCAAGCACTGTACTAAGAAGTTACCATAGATTTCCCTGTTAAGAGAAACCAGAGACCACTGTGGGTCATTTATAGATAGACACTTATGCACGGAGATCAAATAAGTAGTTTTCAAAAGAAAAGAGAAATAAATGAAATGTGTTTTAATAATATGATTTTAAGGCCTTAACATATTTATTTATTTATTTGTTTGTTTGTTTGTTTATTTAGTATACATAGACTAGCATGGCCTCTCTTTACTGGTGGATGGTCTGGAATACTCCATTCAAGAGTGCACTTAGTCCAAGGTAGGGACACAGAGTCCTCTGCACACTGATAGGAACATGGGCCTCACATATTCAACTTGTATTTCTGGATCACGTAGTGTGGCAGTTTGAGCAGATGCAGCAAGACTGAGAATCCTGGCATTACTTTCCTGGGTGACTCCGGTACAGCTGCTGGTGACTCATCTTACCTTCATTCAGATGGCTGAGGAAAAAGTCAACAATACGATTTACCTGAAAAACACTCTTGTCGCCACATGAAATCCACGTAAAAAGCAACACATTTTATGCTTGCACTCATTCAGCCCTTCAAAGGCCATCTGTTTGGACCAGCCCCACTTCTGGGTAGTTGGAGCCACATCTGGCTAGAGGTCTGCATGTCGGGTGGCATGTCTGGAATCTGTCGTCCTCTGTTCATCTCTCAGGTTGCCCCAACTTTGCTCTATTCTCCGGCATGCTTCAATTTCAGAGGGATAGCACAGCCTGTTCCCTTGCTCTGCGTGGCCTTCTCATGGATGGCCACACAGCTAGTAGTTACCTTTCCTTCTTCCCTGCCTGTTCATATGACCAACTACCATTTAAATGGTAGCCATGACATTTCCCACCTGACCCTGACGGTTCTCTTTGACATTCACCTCCTCCCCTCCCCTCCACACTTGTCACTTCTGAAAGACCTTATCTCCCATCCTGCATCCTCTGCTCTGGCAGAGGTCCTAAAACCTACAGCACTGCCTGCTATACAGTAGACTCCTCATGAACACTTCTAGAGCGAATGGATTCGTGAGGAAGTCAATCCATCTTCCCAGACGGTTTTCAGGTCAGGGCTTGGAGCCATGGTCTCACATAGCACGGCAGTGGCAGCGACCTTGGAGTGGTGAAACAGGAGCTACTTTGTCTGCTGTCAACCACTTTGAGGAAGGGGAAAGCTAGCGTCAAGGCAGAAGGCGTCTGCCAAATGTCCAGTGTATCCAGAGGGGTTCGTAGACAAAGCTGTGACTAGGACATAGCTGCTTAAAAGTTGGGGGTTTGTCAAGAAGAACACTGAGATAGATTACAGGGGAGAAAGAGACAACCAGACGAGAGGAGTCCAGCATGGGGGGCAGGTGGTCTCTGAAGGGAGTAAATAGGGACCAATGACAGAAGCGGGTCCCTTCTTATACTCATGTGCATGGGGCTTGTTCCACAGCTGTGGTAAAAGAAAAAGATTACATTTTGTGATGGGAAACTGGCATTTAAATTTTTATTTATTTGTGTTTGTGTGTGTGTTTGTGCATATGTGTGAGTACAGGTACAAGTGGAGGCCAGAGGACAGCTCTTGAGACTTGGCTCTCTCTTGCCACTTTGTGGAACCCAGAGATTTAAAAAGTGACCCACTGGGTCACATACCACCTAACCAAGGATCCAGTAAGACCAAGAATGACCACTGGGCTTAGGAATGATGGTGGCCACTGTTAACTTGGACCTGAGCAGAATACGTAGGGAAGTGGAGGTGGCTTCAGAGAGTTAAAGGAGACAGAATTCATGGTTGCTTTCCGAGAGGGTCTCCCTTTGTAACCCAGGTTGGCTTGGCACCCACTCCTACTACCTCAGCCTCACCAAATCTGGGATGCGTTGCTATGCCCAGCAAGTTGGTGGGCTTCGCTGTAGAGGAGAGTACTGTCTGCTGGTGGTGACGGTCAAGGAAGAAGCTTTCGGGCTTTTCTGATCTTCTTTTCCCTTCCTGCTTCCAGCCCCAGCTGCGGCTGCTGCTTTCTCTACCATCACCCCCATCATTCCCCTAAAAATCAGATAAATAAAAGTATTCTGCTGCGCGAGTGGAAGCAACTTCATAGGACAGAAGGCAATGACGCAGGATGAGGTAAAGATAAGATGATACCCTTGAATAGGGGTGCTGGAGGCCTGTAGTGTGGAGAAACTGTGGTGGAGGGCAGCAGGACTTCCCTGAGGGGTCACAACGTGGAGAGGCTTGGAAGATGTGGGTCATATAGCTTCTGTACTACCATGTGATGTAAGTCTAAAGCAGCCATAGACAGTGTGTGCATGAACAGGCAAGGCTGAGTGGTGATAGAGTTCTGAGGGGCCAGCAAGGTAGCATATTGGTTAGAGGTCACACACAGACCTGATGACCTGCCTTAAATGATCTTGCTCATACTCTGCACCTCAACTTCCCTTAGATCCCACTCTCTCCTACCTGCTAAATGCTTCCTCTTAGTCTCGTTCCCTTGCCCCCTTTCCCCTCTCCGAGAGCTGGAGAACACTAAGGACCTTTTCTCTTGGCTGACTCTTGTCCTCTCCCAAAGTGTACAAAGTCTGGATATGCTATCTCTATCTGTGTCTGTCTATCTATCTATCTATCTATCTATCTATCTATCTATCTATCTATTTATCTATCATCTCTCTGTCTGTCTATCTATCTATCCATCTATCTATCTATCTGGTACTGAGCACTGAGCTGGAGCCTCACCGACACTCAGCACGCCTTCTATTGGATGCATCTCTGGCTCCCATTGAAACTTCTTACCTACTTTTGGGGCAAGAAAAACCATATGCTGCTCATAACTGAAGAGTGTGACTTGATTCAACAAAAGCTTCTTTGTGGGCACCAACGCTTGAATGTCATATTTTCTGTGTCTCCTGAAATAGTCTTACTTTGAGTTTGGCAATGGTTTGGAAAATGTAAATATTATCCTAACTCAAGAGTTTGCAAGAGCTGGCCTTTCTTTGTCACTGTGGAAACTTTCTACAGATAGTTCTGGCTCAATGGGATCACCTGCCCCTTCCTGGGCTTTGCCGCATGCAGTCACCACAGCTTATGCTGCAGACCGCTTTCCTTTCTGTCCGTTTGCACAAGTTGCTAGATCCTTGGTTCTGTGTAATAAATGGACCTCCGTTGTGGATGCTGCAGGATGGAAACTACTGGTCAGCTGTGGGCCTGGGAGCAGGCTGACCAATAGGCATCGCCATCTGGTCCAGGGTCAGGCAGGAACAGAAGTCGGACCTCCGCTGGCTGACCCAGTCCCTGTGGGAGAAGCTATAGCATGGTGCATCCTTGCTGGTGGTGGCTAGCCCACTTGACTCAGGAGAGGTCAATATGGAAGTTCCACTGAGTTCAAGTGGGGGACCTGTGAGCACCCAGTGTCAGTCAGCAGCACCCAAGGCTTCTGGCAATCGGATGTCCAGACTCTAGTTGGTGGGGTGATTACACTGAGGATGTTATCTTTCCTGGGGAAGCCACACACCTAAAATGGAGATTGTGACATAGGGATGGAGGAATCAGGTCTGACCTCACGTCCTGGTGATGGGATGTGAAATTCTCATCGATTAAACTTTTAAATGGTCTCCTAGGGATATTTCTGTACTAAAACTGTCTTGTGGCGTGTGGTGGAGCATGCCTGTAACCTGGGATTCAAGAGATAGATGATTATTGCAAGTTCCAAGCCAGATTAGTCTACACAGTAAGTTCCAGGCCAGGGAAGGGCTACAGAGGGAGGCTCTGTCTGAAATGAAATGAAATGAAAGAGAATAAAATAAAAGTCCTCAATATACCTTTAAAATATTGTAAAAGTAATGATCCAAGCACCTCTGGTCCCCATAGGTACCCTAGTAGGAAAACACTTATTCAATATTGGAAATCTAGTTCCCCTCTTCCACCTCAGCTACCAGAAACCAGAACCTCTTTCCAGGCTCCCTGTAGGCCGGCCGCATTCTTCCCAGCCCACCTGTCAGGTCTCTGAGTTTCTCCAGCAGCCGTCCATTTCTTACCTGATCTCACCTCACTCCATCAAGCTGTGGACATTACTGCATAACACTTGTCTTACAGCTTCACCCTGCCGCCAGCCTAGCTGGCTAGCAGTCTCTCAAATAGCGGCTATAAAACCTCCTTTAAATGGAAACCAGGTTAACCTCCATCTCCTTTACTCTGAGCTAAGTCCCACTAATGCTGTGGGGTCTCAACCTTCCTAGGCGCCACCCTTTAGTACAGCTCTTCATGTAGTGGTGACTCCGCCCCCAGCCATAAAATTACTTTTCATTGCTACTTTGTAACTGTGATTTTGCAACTGTTCTGAATCATAACGCAAATATCCGACAATCGACCTCTGGGAGGGTCATGATCTACAGGTTGAGAACCATTTCCTCTCCTGGCTTCCAAAGCTCTACCGGATCCTGCCTATGCCCTTAACACTTGTCATCTTTGACCCTATCTCTGGCTGTGCTTTATCTCAGTAGAGCACACTGGCTTCTACTCTTGCCTCTAGAATCAAACAGGCCTGCCATACCCCAGGTCTTTGGGCAGGTTGTTCCCTCCACCTGGAATGTTTTTCCATGCGCTGAGAGCAGCGTGGTTCACCTGTCACCTTCAGACTGCTATCCTGTCCTCTTTTCGATGACCTTCCTGAGTCTCCTGGTTCCTCAACCTTATCTGGCTGGCACTGTCCTGTCAGTGTCTGACAAACTGAATACAGTTGGCTGATCAATCAGTGTAATAAGAAGGTTACAATCTGTTTGTTCATTTTCTTTCATTTCAAATGCTTAGCACGAAAATATTCTTCCCCTGAAATTTGTTGAAAGAGCAAGGTGCGTGTGTGTTGGTTGGAGAACTTCAGCTTTGCATTCCCACCTCATTCCCAGTAGCTGACTGTCTGCTCACTCCATGTAACCTGTCGGTCATCAACCCTTAGAAAACCGGACTCACACAAATCACGTTATTAATAAGTTGAAAGCTGAAATCGGGGCCCTAGGTGTACATGGGAAGATAAGATGATTCATTATTTGCTAATCAATCAGCTTTAGCAGATGCACTTTGATCTGCAAAGGACAACTCAACAAGGGACATGGGACTGTGCTTCAGGGTGAAATAAACTGGCCACGGTTAGGTAACTGCCCTAAATTTGATGGGTGACCTGAAGAGTTCAGGGTCCTAGCCTCTTGGGGCAGATGACACAGTTTGCTAAAATGGAAATCTGAAGAGAATTCTCACAGGCCAGGGTGCTAGCAGGGAAGGGCTTGGTTTCCCATTAACCCACCCAGAGTGTTTTCCTGTCAAGTCTTACCAGACTCACTGTTCCTCTCCTTTCCTTAGTAAAATTAGATGCTATATCAAAACTCAAAGGGCTCCAGCCTGCTTTGTCCTAGAACAGTCTGTCCTGGTTAAATCCGTGCTAAGAGTCCAGAACGGAGGCTGTCTTTCCAAGATGATACCAAAGGGCAGGGAGGACCCAGCTCAGGAGTGCTACTGCTGCAGAGGTGCACAACAGAGCCAAGAAAAGAAGACAGCTGAGCTTCGTGGTCACAGGCTGTCACACTTGAGCTGAAGGGTTCTTCCCTCTCTCCTCCCAAACTGTAATCCTTCCTTAGCTCTGGGCTTCCTTCTAGTTGTGAAAAATGTCAAGGTGGTTTTGTTTTGGGTCTTTGATGTTGTTTCGCCTTGTTTTTGTTTGTTTGCTTTTGAGACAAGGTTGCACCTTGTCATCCAGGCTGGCCTTTGAACTCATAGCAATTCTCCTGCCTTAGCCGCCCCTGCACTGAGACGAGAGACAGGTGAGAGTCACCACCATCAGTTGCAAAGTCAAACTTATTAAGATGTAATTTATTGGGCTTGAGAGATGGCTTAGTGAGTAACAGGGCTTGCTCTGCAGACATAAGGACCCAAGGGCCCAGTAACCACGCATAAAGCAGGGCCTTTGGCCACCCAGGTGCTTTGAGGGTCAGAGACAAGAGGATCACTGGGGTTAGCTGGTCCTCAGCCTAGATCCAGGTTCAGTGAGATACCCTCTCTCTGAAGAATAAGGCTGAAAAAGATAGAGCAGGACAGCCACTATCCTCTTTGGCTTCTGTGAGCATGTATGCATGCACACATGTTTATAAGCTACATTTACAAAAATATGATTTCTATACTGTAAATCAAGCCATCTCTCTAGCCCTCTTGTTTTTTGAGACAAGGTCTTACAATGTATACCAAATTGACCTCAGATTTACTATGTAACCCAGGTTGGTTTCAAACTGATGGCATTCTTCCTGCTTCAGCTCCCTGGGTGCTAAGATTATAGGTCTGTGCCACTAGGATTAGCAATACTCTACATTTTTCAAAATATGTGTGATTGTGTGTGCGTGCGTGTATATGTGTGTGTATTTGTGTGTGTATATGTGTGTGTGTATGTGTGTGTGTGTGTGTAGGCTGCACCTTCACCAGTGGCCTTCCATGGCCTCTACAGTGCCAAGCCTCAGCTGCTCTTCATAACCCCGTCATGCCTTCAAAACCAGGACCACCTGGGTGACTCTTAAACATTACCAAGTCCAGCTGCAGCATGAGGTACAACCTTGGCTATCTCTAGAACACAGCTTCTTTGTGCTCTCAGAAAACACTTCCCAGAAGATTTCACCACAGTGATTCTGGTCTCTTCTTAATCACCACTAATTTCTTGGCTCCGGATAACCAGCATCAATTGTCCCAGTAGTAGTCAAAATAGAAGTTTTGACTCTAAAGCCAGAGCCACATGGCCGAAGCTACCGTGTTCTGCTGCTGTTTGGGGCTGGGACATGGCCTGCCCCCTTATTCTATTACCAGATTTCTGTTTTCTGACTCCTCTGCCTAAGCTTGGCTTTCCTGTAACTTGCTCTGTAGATTGACCTTGAACTCAGAGATCTGCTTGGCTCTGTCTCCTGTAATGATGGGATTAAAGTTGTGTACCACCATGCTTGGATTTAAGCTTTTTTTCTTCTAGAACCTGCTTTGTCCCAGGCTGGCCTTGAATTTAGAGATCTGTTTGACTTTGTCGCCTGGGATTAAAGATGTGTACCACCATGCCTGGATCTAAACATAGCTGGGTAGGATCTTGCCCCAAATGCCTTAATCTGTTATGTCCTAGAACATAGGCTTCAGCTCCGTTTCACTTCCTGGTGCTCCTTTAATACTAGAGCCATATACTTTATATTTTTCCTTTCTAAGCTTGTTACACTTGTTCAAAATGCTCTTTGTGAGACTTAACCAGAGAACAGTCTCTGCTGGGCTTTTTTGAGACTTCCTTTGTCAGTGCAGTTAATACAAATCTCTTCACCTTAGCCTCAGGTAGACTCCTCAGACAAGGGCAAAAAGCAGCCACATTCTTCACCAAAATATCACAAAAACAGTCTCTAGGCCACATTCTAGAATTCTTTTCCACTGAAACCTCTTGGGCCAGATCTGAACAGTTCAAATCATTCACAACAACAACTAAGTCTTCCATATTCCTACTAGGATAGCCCATTAAGCCCTACTTAAAGCATTCCAGTGCTTTCCAAATCCAAAGTCCCCAAATCCACATTCTTCCAAACAAAAGCATGGTCAGGCCTATCACAGCAATACCTCAGTCCCTGTTACCAACTTCTGTCTTAATTAGGGTTTTACTGCTGTGAACAGACACTATGACCAAGGCTACTCTTATAAGGACAACATTTAATTGAGGCTGGCTTACAGGTTCAGAGGTTCAGCCCATTATCATCAAGGAGCATGGCAGCATCCAGACAGGCATGGTACAGGAGGAGCTGAGAGTTCTACATCTTCATCTGAAGGCTGCTAGCAGAAGACTGACTTCCAGGCAGCTAGGGTGAGGGTCTTTTTTGCTTGTTTATTTTTGCTATTCTTTGAAAGGTTCTAAATTTTATTACAGAAAAGACTCCCTAATTTAGACACGAGCAAGCCTCCAGGTTAAAAATGTTGAAATCCATCTGGTAGGATTGATGGTTGACCACAGTTCAGTATAAACCCTCAGTCCTGCCACTGTGTGGTCCTTGCAGACCCAGCTTCGTTCTCCTCCAGTGTCTTCTCTAAGAGCTGTACCTGACTTTGTTAGCAGTTTTTATCCGGATCCACTGAGGAATAGGGTGATTTTGCTTTTGTTTCTTGACCAGGAATTGCTTGATTCTGAAAGTCTTGTCAGACGACATGGCGAGAAGCCAAATCAGGTGTAGTGCGCACAATGGCAGAGGAAAGGAGAATAACAGGATGAGAGTTGTATAGCCCACAGTGACACACCTACTCCAACAGGGCCACACTTACTAATAGTGCCACTCCCTGGGCCAAGCATCACAGACCATCACAATCATCATCGTCTTGAGCTCACAGGCAACAGTAGAGAACATCTTAGACACAGTAGACAGAATCAACTGGTAAAGAAAAACTTTATTAGGGGTGAGCAAACACACATACACATACGAGAGAAAGAGAAAGAGAGAGAGAGAGAGAGACTGTGTGTGTGTGTTTGTGTGTGTGTTACTGGCAGTACTCTCTCTCTCACACACACACACACATACACACACACACACACACACAGAGAGAGAGAGAGAGAGAGAGAGAGAGAGAGAGAGAGAGAGAGAGA